ATTCTAGAACTGAGACTCCTTAAAAACTCTTGGAAGGACGTACTAAGGAATTTAATTTTTTTATTTCCTTTTTTAATACCTACTACCTATACATAGAATTTACTTGCCTCAAAACTTGATTCGATCAGGGCGCCAAGTCTGAGACAAATATAAATAATCAGTTTTTAAAAACAAAAACATGGATTTCTAATGCATGCTTAATTATACAAAGCTTTTGAATCAAACATTACATTTAGAATTAGGTTTATAGTCCCTTTAAACATTCAGCGGTATCTGTGTAAACACCTGGTGAAGAAAATAGAAATTGTTTGTAGCTTTTCCTTAAATTAATTATACACTGAATTATGAATATTCAAGAATCTTTGTTTATTAAACTTTTTCTTTATTAAAACCCCTTAGAGATATACAATAGACAATATACATGGACTGATAGACAGAAGGACACCCACAGACAGTCTTATAGACAGTTTACAGATGTACACAGATAATCATATATACAGAAAGACAGTTATATGTGCAGCTAAATAGATATAGACAAATAGATAGATAGATAGATGGTTAGATATACAGCTAGATAGCTAGATATACATCTATATATTAATAAAATATAATAAAATAAAATATAATAAAATATAACATAAATATAAATATAAAATTAAATATAATAAAATATGATAAAATATTAAATAAAAGATAGACAGATTAATATCCGGAAAAAGACAGACAGATACATATACGGAATCAGGTATACAGATAAATATACGGAAATAGATAGACAGATACATATACGGAAATAGATTTACCGATAAATATATGGAATCAGATAGACGGATAAATATACGGAATCAGATAGACAGATAAATATACGGAAACAGATAGACAGATAAATAAATGGAAACAGATAGACATATAAATATACGGAAACAGATAAAAAGATAAATCTATGGAAACAGATAGACAGATAAATATTTGGAAACAGATAGACGGATAAATATACGGAAACAGATAGACAGATAAATAAATGGAAACAGTTAGACAGATAAATATGCGTAGTCAGATATCAAAATAAATAAATGTAAACATGTATAAAGATAAATATACGGAAACAGAAAGATAAATGGAAACAGATATAAAGATAAATATATGGAAACAGAAAGATAAATGGAAACAGATATAAAGATAAATATATGGAAACAGATAGAAAGATAAATATAGGGAAACAGATAGACAGATATATTGGTTGAGTTGGTAAATCCGGATTTAAGATAAAAACACAAAAATCACGCAACCTCAATTTCTTTCTCTTAGGATGTAGTTACATAAAATAAATAATGTAACAAACCGAAAAATAAAATACAATTTTGGACTTTAAAAAAACATTAACCTCTTTCATACCTTCTTCATTATTTTTAGCTCTATAATTATTTAGGGCTAAACTATTTTGAAATGCGTTAATTACACAAATGATTAGCATAAAATTGACACCATGACATCTTTAATCGATTTAATATGTTCTTTAACCATTTTTCTTTTGCAAGATTTCATCAGATACGTTCAAACCAGTTCACACAGTTCAGTGCACATAATTAAATAGATATACTTTTTTCAGTAGCACATAGATAAAAGGAATTGGGCACCCTTATAAGTACTTTTCACAGATGTTTAGGATAACCTCTAATCCTTGATAGTTTTTTTTTTTTGAAAATCTTAAAGATACATTTTTTATTTTATGAAACTGATCACTTGACTCAAGCTCCTTATTTGTCATTCTTTTATGTTTGCAACCTGATTTCGTATACCTTTTTGCTTCAAATTCTGCTTGATCAAAGTGTAAAAGTCTGAGATATTAAGGCAGGCAAATGATTGGTTCCTAACCGGAATAATTTTAACATCTCTGCTAAAACTCGTAGGGTTGCAGGGTTGCTAACCTGAACCTAAACTGGATTCCAATGTTGTGCAATTAGAAGATTTGCAATCGATTGTTCTGGACTGGTTTCTTACATATTTTCAACATATATTTAACATCCATTCCTTGCCTTGTCTTCCCTCCAGTCCTAACCTTACCTTACCTACATTCCTTGCCTTACCTTACCTTCATTCCTTGCCTTGCCTTCCCTCCAGTCCTAACCTTACCTAACCTCCAGTCCTCACCTTATCTTTCTTCAGTCCTTACCTTACCTTCCATTCAATCATCACCTTACCTTCCCTCCAGCCCTCATCTTACCTCCCATTCATTCCTCACCTTACCTTCCCCCCAGTCCTCACCTTACCTTCCCTCCGATCCTGACCTTACCTTCCCCCCAGTCCTCACCTTACCTTCCCTCTGATCCTGACCTTACCTTCCCTTCAGTTCTTACCTTTCATAGCTCCAGTCATGACCTCACCATCCTACAGTCCTCACCTTACCTTACCTCCATTCCTTACCTTGCCTTCCTTCAAGTCCTCACCTTAACTTCCCTCCATTCAAACCTAACCTAACCTTCATTCCTTGCCTTGTCTTCCCTCCAGTCCTCATCATAACTTCCCTCCATTCAAACCTAACCTAACCTTCATACCTTGCCTTGCCTTTCCTCCAGTCCTCACCTTAACTTCCCTCCATTCAAACCTAACCTAACCTTCATTCCTTGCCTTGTCTTCCCTCCAGTCCTCACCTTAACTTCCCTCCATTCTCACCTTATCTTTCTTCAGTCCTTACCTTACCTTCCATTCAATCATCACCTTACCTTCCCTCCAGCCCTCATCTTACCTCCCATTCATTCCTCACCTTACCTCCCCCCCAGTCCTCACCTTACCTTCCCTCCGATCCTGACCTTACCTTCCCCCCAGTCCTCACCTTACCTTCCCTCTGATCCTGACCTTACCTTCCCTTCAGTTCTTACCTTTCATAGCTCCAGTCATGACCTCACCATCCTACAGTCCTCACCTTACCTTACCTCCATTCCTTACCTTGCCTTCCTTCAAGTCCTCACCTTAACTTCCCTCCATTCAAACCTAACCTAACCTTCATTCCTTGCCTTGCCTTGCCTCCAGTCCTCACCATAACTTCCCTCAATTCAAACCTAACCTAACCTTCATTCCTTGCCTTGCCTTCCCTCCAGTCCTCACCTTAACTTCCCTCCATTCAAACCTAACCTAACCTTCATTCCTTGCCTTGTCTTCCCTCCAGTCCTCACCTTAACTTTCCTCCATTCAAACCTAACCTAACCTTCATTCCTTTCCTTGCCTTCCCTCCAGTCCTCACCTTAATTCCCTCCATTCAAACCTAACCTAACCTTCATTCCTTGCCTTGCCTTCCCTCCATTCAAACCTAACCTAACCTTCATTCCTTGCCTTCCCTCCAGTCCTCACCTTAACTTTCCTCCATTCCTAACCTTACCTTACCTCTATTCCTAACAATACCTTCCCTCCATTCCTAAACTTAGCTTACTTCCATTCCTTACCTTATCTTATTACCTCCAGTCCTAACCTAACCATATCTCCAGTCCTAACCTTACCTTATCTCCATTCTAACGTTACCAAACCTCCAGTCATAATCTTACCTTGGTCCATTCCTAACCTTACCTAACCTCCATTCCTAACCTTACAAGCCTCCAGTCCTAACCTTACCTTATCTCTAGTCTTTACCTTACCTCCAAGTTGAAGCTACCACCATCTTTTTCCTCCATCATTTCGCAATACTCCATCAAGATTCCGAACAGTCCTCCATTTATAATTGTCTAGAATTTAGCAGACTGGTCAAGAATTGCCTAAGTAACGATATGCAGTTTAGATCTTGTCATACCGTTGGTGTAGACAAGGCTGATGCATTGTCTGGATTTATGAAACTATCAGATTGTTTACAAGAATTCAGACATTATTTAATCCTTATCTTGTTGATTAATGTTACCATACTCCCTGCCAGTCAGATACAATTATACAGTATCAATTCAATAAAAATTAAAGTAGTTGAAACACTTCATTAGAAATCATTATTAAAAACCTATCTTTAATATTCAGAGTTTAAAGAAAAAAAATAGTTTTTTTAGCATTATTACATAGATATACAAGAATCCTTTAAAATTCAAGTTTTGAACAATATGTCTGCAAAATTCTCGAACAAACCCCCCATACATTTGTACAGAGTACAAATATACTTACCGCAAGCCTTTATATCCAAAGTACGGTATGTCAGTAGTTAGTACCGTTCAAGTACCATAGCTGCCATTTCAAATTGAGCTGAAACCCTCCGGTATAATGGAGACGACATGAGCGATCTATATTCTTGTATATCTATGCATTATTATTAGTCTTGACAAAGTTTAAGGCAACTGCACCCTTTTATAAAAATATTTAAGATCTTCATTGTTCTCTCTGATAAAGAGAAGCATATCAAAGAATTCTATCTGAAGTGTCTAGCGCGTAATTTCAAATTAACGTACATTTGAAGTCCACTATGTCTGTTAATCCTTGAAAATCTTAGTTCGAGAAAAAATAATGGAATTCTCTATTTTCTGTCCAAACGTTGATTATTTTCGATTGCGGTTCTTTCTATAACTTAAAGTTCAACTGTAATATGCAGAGAGAGAATAAAATTTAAGAAATTAATATATTTTTAAGAGATAGTAAAAGGACTTCTTCACAAGCACTGTACTGTACTGTACTGTACTGTACTGTTTAGGGTACCATTGTGAATCAAAGATGTAACTTTTGATATTTTTGCCCATGCCAAGAAAACTGAGAAACATTATTTGAAAACCTTTTTTTGGCGAAAACTGTTGCAATCCTATTTGCTGTTCCTCTATTCATGTCTAGGCTATGTATTCTTAGTATTCTTCCATATTCTTGTGTGGAACAGAAAAACCGTTTAATGTAGTAGAGCAGTTTTCAATTCTTTCTAGATAATAAGGATTCAGTCAAATTAGGGATTTTTAGATATTTAGAGAACAGATTCGGCGCTACCAACGGCTCAGGGGGGGGGGGTAGAAGGGTATAGGGGAAACAAGGCAGTAGTAGAGCGCCTTTCTAAATCAGTTACTGGTTGACACTCAACCCACGCACACTTCTCTCTCTGCGCGCACATTGGATAGTACACCGCGCGCATCAAACTTTTAAGATCTAGAACATGAAATAAATGGAGTAAGAAGATAAAAATTTAAAAATGTCGGTTAGAGTTTGCAAAAACAGCCAGGAAACTAAAATAAGAACAATACATCCCAAGGATGAGAAAAAAATGAAGAGAGGAATGATTTTTCATCCAACATTAGGTTACGCAATTCCTCCGCCAATTCCAGTGTCCGTAGCACGGCGGAATGCAAGAGAAAGAAGTCGGGTGAAGACGGTTAACGGCGGTTTTGAATGTTTACGCCAACATGTCCCCGCCGCCGCCAGAGCTAAGAAAATATCAAAGGTATATTTTTACTTTTCCATGTAATTGAACGAAAAATATTATTCGACAATTTTCCAATTTCAGAACCTAAATTTAGATTTCACGTTTTCTCGAAAATCATGTTTCAGGAATTATTCTTTTATAAGATTATCTTTTCCGACTGAAGATCACAAACCTGATAATAATAATTTCGTTAGAAGTAGTTTTGGTTAGGTTAACATATCTACATATCTATATTGGGATTGAAATATATGTAAAACCAAATTCAGCAATTTGTTTAATAAAACCAGTTAACGCAGTTTACTCTACAAGCATTGCGGGCGTTTTTAACAAAAAATATCCATTTCCAAGAGGAGTAACATGTTGACAAGAGATAACGTCCAGATATTTAATGTACTAATGTGAAATATGCTTATTAGGTTGATATATTGAAGCACTCTGTATCATATATTCGAAACCTACAAAATATTCTGGATGGATATCAGAGTTTTACAAGTAATCTAAGCTCAACGAAGGAACATTCCTCCGACAGAAACTCTGGGAAAGGATCGGACTCAGACCCTTCTAGTTCTCTCGGAGAAGCGCTCAGCGCTGCGGACATATTTGCATCCTTAGAGGAGTCCTGGACAGAGGAGAATACTAGATCTCCTTCTCCTGCTCTCTCATCCTCATCATCTGCTCCTTTTCTTACACAAACCTTAATGTCTTCTCTCCCATCCAACCTGACCCTGACCTCCCCTACTCCCCTGGCACAAGGATACGAACCCTCCTCTGAACCCACAACACCAACCTCTCCTGACGCCTCCATGTTTGAATGTGAAAGTGGTTATGGTAGTCCAACCATCTATGCTTCTCCGTCCTACCACCAGTCTCCGACATATACCCGGAGTAATTCCGTCCTTTCGACCCAATTGAGAAGTTCCCAATCCTTTTCAGCAATTTCTCCGGCTCTTGCAACTCGACCCATCAGTGGACGAAACTCATGTGAGTTTCAACAAAACTCTGGCCTTAATCAAAACTCTCCGTCTTATTATCAAAACTCTAACGCCTACGGATTAAACTGCAATCTCGGAGATAAATCCTACTCCAGTATCCAACTCCACCCTTCAACAAGCTCCATTTCTCCAGCTCCATATAATGGGATGGAGACGAACCCTTCAAAAACGTATCCAGGACAATCCAACTATAAAACAAGTGCTCTACCATTGAACAAACATTTCCGGAGCAATACCTTGGATAACTCCATCCGTCTTCCAGTCTCATCTGTAAACTGCAATCAACCTTCTCCCCTCCTTCCATCCTCACTTCCCCCTACCTCCTCCCCTCTTCATCCCCCCTCTTCTCTTCATCTCCCCCCTCCCCTTCATCTACCTGCCCCCCTTCCATCCCATCTCCCCCACAAGCGCCCATCCTTACAATTAGAGGTAGGTTGACTTTTAGACACAACTTCCTTCCTCTGGATACTTTTTTATCAAATTTTTCAAAATAAACGAAACTAAAAAGATTGAACCAACAACATTAAAATCAAAACTACTGCGAGGGGAAAAGGAAAATTTGAAAATTGGACAGGGGAAATATTTTTCTTAAAAATCAGAAAATTTCTAAAATTATCTAAGTTTAATAGTTGGAAAAGGGTGGGAAAAAAAATCACAAAAATTTAAAAAAAAAGACAAATATATTTCAATTTTTTGTTGCAGGGACTAGAGGTAGACGAGGATGATTTATTGGACGCTATTGCAGAGTGGCAGCAGTCTTGATTTAAACTTAACCTGGTGAGATTTCGATATTCTTTACTTTTTTCTATTTACTCTTTATATTTTAAATAGCTATAGATATATCTAACATATGTAAATAAACCCGCTCTTCCCCCGTTTCCAACTCATGGCAGTCTAGAGTCTATGTCCAGTAAAAAGCATGTTTTATTCTCTGATATTAAACATTAGAAATATTCATCATTCATCAAAACTGATTTCTCCAAAACGATAAACGATTCTTTTAACTTTTTTAACAATTTTGACAAGAAAAATTTCCTGAAAACCCTGAATACGTTTTTGATTTATTTGTAAATCGGTTTTAGGACGGTTAAAGGTAGGTGGGTTAAAGTTTACAAGGTTACATAACATTCAACATTAAACAGATATTAAAGAAATATATTGAATCTTTGGAGACAGGGATGCAGGAATACGACCGGGGATACTGGGATACAAGGATACAAAATATGAGGCTATAAGTATCCTTAAACTGCATATATATATATTCCCCTACCTAATTTTTTTAAATATATCAGAAAATTAAGGAAGTATATATTTGTTCTGCCCCCCCCCCCCTCCCCCGCTAGTTAGTTGGGAGCTACATTTAAGATTATATTTCATTTTTTTAGAAAAAGTGACATTTCTCTTCCTTATGGCTTAATGTGCTTCGTTATAATCCAATATACATTTCTATTTATCTATCTATCTTTTTATCCATGTATTCATTTATATATCTATCTTATATCTATGTATATTTCTATGTATGGCACTAAACAAATAATACTTTAAGAAAATTAGGGTTTTGATTAAATCTGAATTATTAACATTGCAATTTTTAGATTCACTGATTAAAGTGATTACTTTTAACTTTTCTTCTTCAAAAGATTATTGAAGACTCATAAATCAATTTCTTGCATGTATATTTGTATCTTTACATCAATTTCTTGCATGTATATTAATATCTTTACATCAGTTTCTTTCATATTTCTATATCTATGTATCTATCTATTTATCTATTTATGAGGTGTAAAGATAAGAGTTTAGAATTCCAACTCTAATCAAAGAGAATTTCTGTCATGTACCTTCACATACATATATTATACTTACCCAGTTTATCTTTTTATGTGTACACCCCCCCCTGCCATGCCACCTCCCTTCCCCTCCCCTCCCCTACTCCTCCCACACATCCCACTGCTCCTCCTTTTAAATCCTATTCTTAAAATCGTCCTAGAAATAAATCTAGAAACCCTTTATATTGTGCACTATATAATCTTATTATAGCCTGTAATATACTTGGGTAGTTAATCAAATACAGGGATAGATAGATAGATAGATTGATAGATAGATAGATAGATAAATTGATAGATAAATAGATAGATAGATAGATAGATAGATAGATAGATAGATATATAGATAGATAGATAGATAGATAGATAGATAGATAGATAGATAGATAGATAGATAGATAGATAGATAGATAGATAGATAGATAGATAGATAGATATATAAATAAATAAATAAATAGATAGATAGATAGATAGATATATTATTTATATAGATAGATAGATAGATAGATAGATAGATAGATTTCCTTAAAAGCACATACTTGCCACTTCTCTATAAATATTCAATAGTTCTAATACATATTGAAATATACAAGTTCCGAATAGTCTGAAACTCTGTTCTAAACATAAACGAGAAGAGACTTGTTTAGCTCATTTACAAGTTTAAATCTATTTAAAAGTTTCCAGCTCAGGGCTGAAAACTTTAGAATGTGATATCCTTAATCACGATCTGTAAATTAATCTCGAGATTAAGTTCATGAGGATTATAAGCAATATTTGATCTGGAGATTAAGAAAAAGAGTGGATTTAGCATTAATCCTGATATCCACAATTCTAAAGTTTTCAGCTCTGGTGTACTAACCGTACTTAAATAATTGTAACCTTTTTTAAATAATAAAAATATTTCCATTTTTCATGTCACTTTTTCTTCAATTTTGCTGGTCTACTTGGTCAATTGCAGGCCAAGGAATAGCTTAATACTGAAGTCCCATCACCCATTAGTTAACAAATTCAAAATAAATTACTTTTTTCAACACTTAATTTACCCGAAACAAGCGGTCCTGAAAAACGCCTGCTAGTGTCCTTAAATGACCCTGAAAACTGTATCTTCTCTCCCTAAATTGAGCATGTTATATTGTTATGATGTCAACGTTCCCTAAATTGATAACTCCCGAAACTCATCATCGGTATCTACCATCTGTGCCAGGGGGTGGATNATAGATAGATAGATAGATAGATAGATAGATAGATAGATAGATAGATAGATAGATAGATAGATAGATAGATAGATAGATAGATAGATAGATAGATAGATAGATAGATAGATAGATAGATAGATAGATAGATAGATAGATAGATAGATAGATAGATAGATAGATAGATAGATAGATAGATAGATAGATAGATAGATAGATAGATAGATAGATAGATAGATAGATAGATAGATAGATAGATAGATAGATAGATAGATAGATAGATAGATAGATAGATAGATAGATAGATAGATAGATAGATAGATAGATAGATAGATAGATAGATAGATAGATAGATAGATAGATAGATAGATAGATAGATAGATAGATAGATAGATAGATAGATAGATAGATAGATAGATAGATAGATAGATAGATAGATAGATAGATAGATAGATAGATAGATAGATAGATAGATAGATAGATAGATAGATAGATAGATAGATAGATAGATAGATAGATAGATAGATAGATAGATAGATAGATAGATAGATAGATAGATAGATAGATAGATAGATAGATAGATAGATAGATAGATAGATAGATAGATAGATAGATAGATAGATAGATAGATAGATAGATAGATAGATAGATAGATAGATAGATAGATAGATAGATAGATAGATAGATAGATAGATAGATAGATAGATAGATAGATAGATAGATAGATAGATAGATAGATAGATAGATAGATAGATAGATAGATAGATAGATAGATAGATAGATAGATAGATAGATAGATAGATAGATAGATAGATAGATAGATAGACAGACAGACAGATAGACAGACAGAAACCCAGACAACCAGATAGACAGACAGACAGACAGACACCCAGACAGACAGACAGACAGTTTGATAGATAGATATATAGATAGATAGATAGAGACTTTGGTAGATTGATTAAAATGTTTTCTACTTAATTAACAATGAAATCTACGGTTGTTAACAATAATGTCTCGGTAGTTAACAATAATGTATATGTCTAGGTGTAGTTAACAAAGATATCTAGGTAGTTAAGAATGATATATATGTATAGGTAGTTAACAATGATGTTTAAATAGCTAACAATGATGTCATTGTCTAGGTATTTAACAATGATGTCCAGGAAGTTAACACTGTTGTCTAGGTAGTTAACACTGTTGATTACGGTTATAAACTGCTCCGAAGAAATTTATATATATATATATGTATTTAACCATGTAAGCATATATTTATATATGTATATTGTATGATTTGACGACTAAGCTTAAAGGATAAAAATTGACATTAAAATTAAACAGACTCCTCACCTGAACAGTGAACAGTAAAAAGTTCGTTACCTTACTCCCATTCAAATCCTTTCTATTCTCCGTCAGAAATCTTGTTAACATATTTTTCAAATGTCAACTAACTGATCTTTCTTTTTTCTTTTCTTTTCATTTGGTTGTATACTTTACTGCTATAAATATCAAACCATGTCACATTTCTACACTTGTCGCTAGAAAACGGTTTATTTTTTGTTTCTTCTTTAATTCTTATATTCTAATATTTGTAATTCTTTGTTTATTTTTAGAACCAGACTCCAAGAAAGACATCGAAAGTAGATGAGAAGATTTAAGAAGAAGATTAAAAAAGAACAAAAATGACGGAAAACTATCAGTATACTTGCCCATTTGTTCAACTACCTCAACCAGCCATCCTTTCAATTCGTAATAACAAACCATTTTCCTTTCTTCCTTCCTTTCAACTCGAAATAACAAACCATCTTCCTTCCTTCCTTTCAATTCGTAGTAACAAACCATCTTCCTTTCTTCCTTCCTTTCAAATCGAAATAACAAACCATCTTCTTTTCTCTCTTCACTACAGTTCAGAATAACAAACCATCTTCCTTTCTTCCTCCTTTCAACTCAGAATAACAAATCATCTTCCTTTCTTCCTTTTTTTTCAATTCATGATAACAAACCATTCCCCTTCCTTTCTCTTAATTCATGATAACAAATCATCTTCCTTTCTTCCTTCATTGTTTAACCACCTTTTACTATTACTTTCTGTCCTTCCCTTTTTCTTTCCTTCTGTAAAATAATAAACCACCTTTCTTTCTTCCATCGGTTTTTTTTAAATAGCAAAAAGTTTTTTATGGCAATAATTTATACATACCTCATGTTCAATAGTTTAAAAAACAGGATTTAAAAAAGACAATTAAGTGATATTGAATGACATGAAAAATCTGATTTTCCTGAATGACGTTATACATACCTCATTTTAAATAAAAAAAGACATTTAATGATATGAATGACAATAAACAATAAACAAGAAGCAACTACTCTAAAATGTGATAAAAAACTATAATTAAATAATTGTATAATATATTAGTGGCATTTGTATAAATATTTGAATAAAGCATGTAAATAAAATGGTAAAATCTAATTTTTTCTTCTTGACGGCTAGTTATATAAACAGAACTGAGATCAATTCTATTTGAGCTAGCGGAGAATTTTTTTCATTTGATCACTCCAAGATTCAAAATGAAAACCGCTTTTATGGCACAAAAAATTGGATGACTGCTAAATAAGCGACAAAAAATCGCTTTTTATCAAACAAACACCGCTTTTTTCAATTTCGAAACTGGGATGTGGATTCAATACCAAAATTCCCAGAGTTGTTTAAAGTTAGTGAACTTAAATAGATTATGTTAAATAGATATAAAAAAATACAAAAATCATGGATGTACTAAGCAATATAGTTCTAGATGGTTCTGCAAGTTTTTCACTCACTTGCATACAATGATTTATGTTATACTATCATAAATTAATTATTTACTAAAATGTTAGTGTTAAAAATAATAATAATGATCATTATAATGATAATGTTGATAATTTTAAAAAAAATGATAGTGATCTTAATAAATTATAAAAGAATCAGAAGTAATAACGATAATTTTTTTATGAGAATGAGCAAAAAACTGAACGTGGCTCGTAAAATGTACCGATGGGGTTCAAGAAATATCATTGCAAAATAGTTTATAAATTGTCAGGAATAAATTTATTCAGTCGAATTTTAAATGTGTAAAAATGTGCTGATGAAAAAAGTTTAAAGGGACAGACACAACACTGCATACTCAGTTTAACTCACTTACATAGCCGGTCTGTCCCTTTAAGGATAAACCTAACAGCAGAAGGGAGTCAGCGGAGCGATTTACTAATCACCAATTTTGCGTAAAAAGAGAGTAAAAACAAGAGTTATTTATATTTATCTATTCCTGACGAATTCCATATAATGGTGTGCTGCAGACATAAAGTGGAAGCTCTACATTTTCTTTTTTAATTGTTAAGATTCCAAGGTTTCAGTCTTATTCTTTAAATGTAAAAGGGGATGGTGGAGTTGGCACATTTGATGTAGGGGGGGGGGGCCTGCCTTCATTTTTGGTTCAAATCTTCCAATTTTTTGGGTGAACGCCTAATTAGTGATCGAAATTCCTAAAATAAAATCAAATTGAATTTTAATGACCTCTAATGACCTCCACAAATAGAAAATATTTCAACTATGGCTTTATGCATATCAAACGAAAGCTAGGAACCCCAGGAATACAGTAGCAGCAACAAATTCAGTGCTTGACCTTCTAATGACCTCTTACGACCTCTAATGACCTAAATGACCTCCAAAAATGAAAATGTTTAAACTATGGCTTTATGCATATCAAACGAAAGCTAGGAACCCCAGGAATACAGTAGCAGCAACAAATCCAGTGTTTGACCTTCTAATGACCTCTACTTACGACCTCTAATGACCTAAATGACCTCCATAAATGAAAATGTTTTAACTATGGCTTTATGCATATCAAACGAAAGATAGGAACTGAGGAAATACCGTAGCAGCAACGAATCCGGTGTTTGACCATCTAATGACCTTAAATGACCTTCAAAAATAAAAATGTTATAACTATGACTTTAAGCATATGAAAAGAAAGCTACAACCCAGGGAATACAGTAGCAGCAACGCATCCAGTGTTTGTCTTTCTAGCAACCTTTAATGACCTCCAAATTGAAAATGTTTTAGTATGTATTTCAAATGAAAGCTAGGAACTAGAGACTACAGTGGCAGCAACAAATCTAGTGTTTGAAATTCTAATGACCTACAATGACCTTTAATAACCTCCATGAAAATATTTAAATATGGCTTTAGGCATGTCAAACAAACATAGTAACCCCCAAAGAATCGAGCAGCAGCAACAAATCCAATGTTTGACTTTCTAATGACCTCTAACGACCTGTAATGACCTCCAAATTGAAAATGTTTCAAATCAGGATTTATGTTTATCAATCAAAAGCTAGGAACCTAGACAATACACTGGATTTGTTGCTGCTACTGTATTCCTGGGGTTCCTAGCTTTTAATTGATATGCATAATACCATAGTTAAAACATTTTCATTTTTAGAGGTCATTTAGGTCATTAGAGGTCATTAGAAGGTGAAATACTGGATTTGTTGCTGCTACTGTATTCCTGGGGTTCCTAGCTTTTGTTTGATATGCATAAAGCCATAGTTAAAACATTTTCATTTTTGGAGGTCATTTAGGTCATTAGAGGTCGTTAGAGGTCGTGAGAGGTCATCAGAAATCCAAACACTGGATTTGTTGCTGCTACTGTATTCCTGGGGTTCCTAGCTTTTGTTTGATATGCATAAAGCCATAGTTAAAACATTTAAATTTTTGGAGGTCATTTAGGTCATTAGAGGTCGTAAGAGGTCATTAGAAGGTCAAACACTGGATTTGTTGCTGCTACTGTATTCCTGGGGTTCCTAGCTTTCGTTTAATATGCATAAAATCATAGTAATAACATTTTCATTTTTGGAGGTGATTAAGGTCATTAGAGGTCATTAGAGGTCATTAAAATTCAATTTGATTTTATTTTAGGAATTTCGATCACTAATTAGGCGTGCACCCAAAAAATTGGAAGATTGAACCAAAAATGAAGGCAGGGCCCCCCCCCCCCCCTACATCAAATGTGCCAACTCCACCATCCCCTTTTACAATATTTTAAAGGAGTTGACTCAAATGTTCTTATCCCTATATCTTTGCGACCTGATAGTGTACAACTTTTATATTTCAAACTTAGATTTTTTGATCTAATATAATTAATAATTTGAAATATCTAAAAACTATATATGATATACAAATTTTAATATAGAAATTATAAGTCTTTATCACAAAATCGGATTTTTTAATCCCAAATCTTTGCAACCCAATGTCGTATGACTTAAAATACTTCAAACTATGAATTCAGTTATATCAAATAATTTAAGTTTAAAATTTAAAGGGGGTTAAAACTACATTATCGGATTTCAAAGATATAGGGATTAGAAAATATGAGTTTGTGGCAAAAACTCAATTCCTTTCTTCATTTTATAGAAAAACTAAATGAAGGGCCTGGCGTTGCCCGTGGAAAAAATAATTTAGAAAAAAATTTCCCCGGCCACCTATGATTGTCCACAAAAAAATTCAGCCCAATCGGTCCAGTCGTTTGGCCGGCTATACGCAACATATATAAATATACGAATTCAACATATATATATACGAATGCCTTGTTTTATTATATAGAAGATGACCCTTTGGCACACACAATTTTGAAACATTCGAGGCAAAAAATGATACTAAAAATTGTGTCTTTTATAACCCTGTAAGCAAATCTTTTAAACTTTATTAATTTGTTAAAACAAGAGATAATAAAGATAAGAACTTGAATAGGTTCTCCTGGTGTACCTAAATACTAGGGATACTAGGGATACTTTCAATCCATTCCACAGATCTACTTTTGCAAACTTATGCATTAAGAGGATAGAGAGTTAGATACATTGTTAGATAGATTAATAGATGGATTAGTAGATAAATAGGACTATGCAAAAAAAAGATAGATGGATAGAAAATAACATTTGCAAAATAATAGTAGACTAGACACTTAGTAGACATGCAGACTGAAGACAACTAGACAACAAAACGTGTACATATAAGCAGACAAACATTCAGACAACTACAATCCCAACATGTAAACAGCCAAACTTTTCAGATAACTAGACAAGAAAACATATAAGCAGCCAAACATTCAGACGACAAGAAACCAAACATCTAAACAGCCAAACATGTGGACAACTAGACAACAAAACATAAAATTATGCAACCATACAATCAGACAACTAGAAACCAAACATCTAAACCGCCAAACATGTGGACAACTAGACAACAAAACATAAAAGCAACCAAACATTTATACACCTAAATAGCACAAGAAAACAAGAAAACAGGAAAACAAGAAAACAAAAAAACAAGAAAACAAGAAAACAAGAAAACAAGAAAACAAGAAAACAAGAAAACAAGAAAAAAAGAAAACAAGAAAACAAGAAAACAAGAAAACAAGAAAACAAGAAAACAAGAAAACAAGAAAACAAGAATACAAGAAAACAAGAAAACAAAAAAAAACAAGAAAACAAGAAAACAAGAAAACAAGAAAATCAGACGTACATCCAAAAAAAATAGACAATCAGAAAACCGGAAACCCGGACAGCAAGTCTACCAGTTAACCAGACAATAAGACAACCGGACAAACGGATAACCAGAAATCTAGAATACCAGATAACTAGAACCAGATAAACCATACAACTAACCAACCATAAAAACGGACAACCAAAAACTATAGATAGATTTTGTAAAAAAAAAAAACAGACAACTTTACAACCAAACAACTGGACTTACAGAAAACAAGATAACAAGGACAACAGACAACTGTACAACCAAACAGCTGGACTTACAGAAAACAAGTTAACAAGGACAACAGACAATTTTACAACCAAACAACTTGACTTACAGAAAACAAGATAACAAGGACAACAGACAACTTTACAAGCAAACAACTGGACTTACAGAAAACAATATAACAAGGACAACAGACAACTTTACAACCAAACAACTGGACTAACAGAAAACAAGATAACAAGGACAACAGACATCTTTACAACCAAACAACTGGACTTATAGAAAACAAGATAACAAGGACAACAGAAAACTTTACAACCAAACAACTGGACTTACAGAAAACAAAATAACAAGGACAACAGTCAACTTTACAACCAAACAACTGGACTTACAGAAAACAAGATAACAAGGACAACAGAAAACTTTACAATCAAACAACTGGACTTACAGAAAACAAGATAACAAGGACAACAGGCAACTTTACAACCAAACAACAGGACCTTTATTTTAAGACAATAAATATAGGGGCAAAAACCGAAAACAACAAAACTATGAATTTTGTTAAAAAAAAATAATTAAATT